ACAACCTGTCAACATCCCAGCCACTGACCAATCTTATCACTGAATAAAAATATGTATAATATATATGTATGTATATATAGGTCAGTAGAATAATTTCATTGTTTCAGCCTTTCCATTTCCACTTCACTTAAAACAGAGCTTCTAACAAACAGAGATTGTTTACTACACTGAACACATGATGATGATTCTAGCTGCATTTTAATTGTGCAAAGTTTATTTTATCCCCGGAGTGATAGCTGACAGTGTGGTTGATTTTACTCTCTGGTTCCATCGCTATAACTCAGAATAACATGAGACAGCTGTGTGATGAGAACAGGAAATAAAAAGATTGTGTTTAACTAGAGAAATAATCCACACACTGTTAATTCATTATTATAAATGCAACATTTTAGTCTGATAGACCTCATCTGTCATTAGGCTAATTACTTCTCCACTCTTTACAGAAAGGCATTGCTTCCAAAGTGTTTTTATGTGACATATTCAGAGTAGTTTCATCATTGTCCAACAAGGCTATATAGCAAAACATACTCTATATCTTACATATATTTAATAACACCTGCACATATTATAACCCTTGGCTTACTTCTAATATTGGGCAATTATTTCTAGTCTTTTCTGTTTTAAGATTAAAGGCCATTGTTTACATTTCACTTTGATGAATATGACTGTCTCTAAAACATAACATTATCATCACCATTTCATCTCATATAATGAGAACGGATGCTACTTAATTCATAGTACTGATGATGTCGGTTTATAATTAACAACCACACCCCTTTCACATGAACACACTCATGGCTTGATAGGAAAATCCACAGTTGAATGAGTTAGTTGATAACCACCTTTGTGATACCAGTTATCCAGACAGCCAATGTTAGACTTATTGATGCCAGATAACCAAAAGATATCCTTGGTAAGTTGAACGGGCAGATAGAACAGGCCCCTGGTCAGGCCCCACTCAGAGGCAATGTTGCCTCATAGGCTGCAAACTAAATAAAACAGCAGATATTGGAGGATTTCCACAATCTGAGGTGTTGAGGCTCGTAACAAGAGAAGTGATACTCGGTTACGCTCATACAAGAGCAGAGCCACATTTCATTCTGGCCTAAAGCCCTACATCCTGCAAAGGCAACAAGAAACTCCACAGCTCACTGATCCCATTTGGCCAACTTTGGAATAGTGCACAAAGCAAGCATTTTCTTCTCGATGTGTTTACTTCCCAATCCAATGATATTAATATATAGATTTTTTAAAAACTGGAATCAAATTACTATTTGCATGTGAAAGAGGTGGCTTGCAGGTAGTGTTAGATCCTTTATTACAAAGATTATAAAGTGAACTGTTTCATTCTGAAAAGCATGGCACAATTTAAAATTTTGTTTCAATACAAAACTCCTCTCGATAGCAGGGCTTGACTCTGGCTGTAGGTGAGGAGAACTGCTGACCCGGGCGGGGATATTGTTGAGCGATGGAAAGAGTACTTTGACAAACTCCTGAACCCGACCAGCACATCCTCTGTGCAGGAGGCAGTGTCTGAAGACTCACAGAGAGCGTCATCAATATACCTGACAGAGGTCTTCGCAGTCGTCAAAAAGCTCCTCATTAGCAAGGCACCAGGTGTGGATAAGATCCGCCCCGAGATGCTGAAGGCTCTGGACATTGTTGGGCTGTCTTGGCTGACATGCCTCATCAGTGCCACGTGGGGGTCGGGGACAGTGCCTGTGAAATGGTAGAACGGGGTGTTAGTTATCACTTTTTATAAAAGAGGGGAATGGAGAGTGTGCTCCAAATTTAGGGGAGTCACATTGCTCAGCCTCCCTGGAAAGGTTTACGCAAATTAATTGTACTGAAAAAGAGGCTCCAACTGATCAAATATGGACCAGTTTACCCTAACCCTGTGAGCGGGGCTGCTACCCAGGGAGTCCTGTGGGGGTACTGTAGGCATGTGGGGTACAAGGCCCTTGCTACAAGCCATCCGGTCTTTGTGCAACCAAAGCGAGAGCTGTGTCTGTTTAGACTGAAACCTAAAAGAAATCCATAGGCTATCAGTTTAAATGTATGCTATATTCAGAATATTTTCACCACTTTATCTTGCCATGAAACAGCTCTTCACAACATGGAACTGAAGCCATTATCTCTGAGACACCAGACTCCACTGACGGAAACATTTTTGAATATGGGAGTTGCTGGTCTACCACTGCCTGAATCTGTTAGTGTGCACAGTAAAGCAGGCAGAATATTCCAAATGTATCAAACACTTAAACTGATACTGATTTTTTTAGGTGGCTCATTTTAGTTGTCTAAAATTGCCTACATTTTGCTGCAGCCCACGTCCGTTACATTGCTTGGCTTCTGTGCCACGAGGGTTGGTTCATCAAGGTCGCCAGTAAAGCAACACAGTACATAAAACAAGCACAGCAGAAACATCACATATGTTGGACCACCGGCTGGTAGGGGGTCACGGGGTAGACCTAGAACACGTTGGAGGGGTTATATATCTCATCTGACCTGGGAACGCCTCAAGATCCCCCAGGACGTGCTGGAAAATGTTCCTGGGAAGACTGATGATTGGAATGCCGTGCTTAGCCTGCTGCCCCCTGACCTGGCCCTGCATAAGTAGAAGATAATGGATAGACGGATGGATCCTCTATCCATGTCAAGCTACCAATGTAACAATGTCAAAATGCTCCAGCATAAGTTCCTTCAATCAAAATCTAACTTCATTAAAAGTATGTTAGTATTATGATTCTGCAGAAGATCAGCCCTCTAATACTTATGCAGCCAATAATTATTCATGATATCATCAAATTGATAATACTGATGCATCAGTGTGTAAGCAGCATTGTACTGTTGCAGCTGGTCGAGGTATTTATTGTGTTAACTTCTACATATTCAGTTAGTTGTTTTGTCCAGTGGTTTTCCAAAGGAACCACTGGACTAAACAACCTGCAAATTTCCCATCCCAGCTCTGGGGTAGGTCACCAGATAAATCTGGCTTGTCTTAAGATGAATAATCAAGTAGTAAAATTCTGCTACACAGGTTTTTATTACAAGCTTTGCAGTTTTTGTGAAGTACTGGATAATTATACTCCTTTGTGCCTTGAGCAGTTATTTAAATGAATAGCAGAGGTTTAGAGGAGTAAATTATTTTTAATTCTATTCAATTTTATTTATAAAGCCCAATATCAGAATCACAGTTTGCCTTAGAGGGCTTTACAGCATATGACATTTTTGTATATTTCAAACAACTCATCAGAATAAAAATATTAAGGGTCTGCATATTGATTATTATTTTTATAGTCTAGACACTGCTGTTTTGTAATGACTTGTAAACCAAAAGAAACCAATGTATTAGTGTCAAATCTTAATCTGCAATGTTAGGCTACAACATCTGTACAACATGTGGCAGAACAGTATATTATGCCTCTGAAAGAAAGTATAAGTAGAAGACAGAATAAAAAAAATACTACAGTGCCTCAGAATTTGGCTTCAATACTCAAGTAACTGTAACGTTAAATGTACTCAGTTACTTTCCATCGCTGAAATAGTGATGAGGGCAGCTCTACTGTAGCAACATAACTCAAATTATTGTTTAATTTTTACGACCCACAACTTAAATATTTTGTTGCACTCTCTTCTCACCAGTCCCGAGTCCAGGCAGATATTTTCAGTGAAACAGCTCTGATATAGCCGTTGAGACACCTGCCCAGTGCCTAACGGCAAACAAAGTTAGCAACTGGCTAACGGTAACGCTAATTAGGCTAACGTTAGCTGAACATGGCGGAGTATTTAGCTGCTAAAGAGCAAGATATTCCCCTCGGGAGTTGATGGAGAACAAAACAGAGCTAAAAGAAGAATGAATATTGAACTTACATCCACCAAGTTGCCGCATATATTACTCCAAATGATTGTTGCTCCATATCTCCTGGATGTGTAAACTGGCAGCTGTATGCTAACAGGTTAGCCTAATCAAACTTGACAGGTGGTATGTCAGTGTTGAGTTTAGAGCCTGTTGGGGCTGCCCCCAAGTGGTTAAAAAATCAGCTCCTGCGGGCTTATTTAAAGCGACAATTGTATATTCCTGCTATTTGAATCCCTATGTTGTATGTTCAGTTTTAATTTATATATTGTATCATATTTTTCTCCCTTTAGTTATGGACACTAATTGAATCAATGATCAATGTTTCCCCTCCATCATTAACATCTCTATGGATTCCGTAAAATTTTGAACGCAATCTTCCAAAGCTCAGCTCTACTGTATCTGCAGTAAGCATCCAGGTGTAAATTTAACTGTGTGGAGATGGATGCTGTAAAAAAAAAAAAAAAAAAAAAACATCATGCTCGGTGTTTGTATGATGGGTCTTAGCTGCAATTGATTTAATGGGGTAAAAATGTTCTCACAGTTTCCAGTTACCATAGCACATGCATTTCACAACTGGAATGGGGCTCTGGAGATAAAGTGTTAACCTATTTTCCACATTAAGAGGGAACGGCGCCCTCTGGTGTTTAACATCACCAGGCACGCCACTGAGTTAATGACACAGTACAATAAACCCACACAGAGGACATCAACCCTCTTAATGATCCTTTCAGTGGTGAAGGGTTGAGGGGCCAATGGCACTCAGCATGGAGTCTCAAAAGGCTTTTAAGTGCTGCATTTCCTCCAAACTGCTCTCCACACACAGTTTACTCTGCTGGAGAAAATAGATTTAACTGATTTCTACCGCAGTGCCCTGCGCCTTGTCATGGTCAGAAATGATTTACATAATATCTAAAGGCTCTTTAATGCTCCAACCAACACACCCCTCCTCATAGAAATTGACCTCTTGATTCATATTGAAATTTTTCAATTCAATCATTTTACTTTCAGCGTGTTTTCCATATTGCACTTTATTTTGGTCTATTACTATTTGAGGTTTATCGTTCTTCTTTGCACTGCACATAAAAATCGTAGGTAGCTTGAAGTATGGAGTTTGAGTAAAAGGACAGTAAGCCAGCTGTGATTTATATTTTTTAATAGTTTGCTAGACACTGTCATCAAACTGGTCACACAAACAAGATTTGAAATGTTTTATTTTAATAGAATTTAGGACAACCAAATATGTAAAATAAAAAAAAGAAAACCAACAGCAAAAGTGAAATTTAATTCACTAGTTTGTTTTTTTTTTCCTTAAAAAAATATCAGCCTTTCCCCTTGTTCACAAACCGTTTCAAAACCTGGACAAACAGAAATAACGAGATAAATTCCGAGAAGCTGGAAGGCCATTAACATTTGTTGGCAAATATAAATATAGTGGTTTGAACAGGGTCTCAAACAGCTCACATGGAAAGAGTGTACAGTTTACATGGTAGTAGGACACTCGGCACTGCCTGTATCAATTTTTATTAATGTAGAAAACCAGGATCCTTATTTACCGATTTAAATCAATGTGTTTATGACAAGGAAATATATACATTCAGCCAGCTCTAGTCTCTGGAGTATGGCGCTTGTGTTGCCCCTTCGATCACATTGATTGTCTATTCAGGGGCATAATTGTGAGTGTATGTGTAGTCCGAGTAGTAATCCTGTGTCCCACCCCTGCCTGCTGGGTAACCCCAAGAGCAGGGTCCCCCTCCAGTCCCGTCCCCCAGATCATGTCCTCGTCCTGGACGAGGCCAAAGTCCTACTGGTGGGACTCCTCTCCCTCGGTAGCCCCCTAAAGAACCAGGACCCATACCACCCCGCATAGGCCCATGATCCATATGTCCAGGGATGCCACCTATACCACCATAGCCCACACCACACATTGGATGTGGAGGCAGCTTAGGTCTGACTATTGAGCCCCCCCTGGTGGCCATTGTGGGCATTCCCACAGAAGGTCCAAGGTTGTTAGCGCAATTCACCTGAGTCCTGCCCCCCTGATTAACAGGGTTGCTGCCTCCGACGGATTCCCCAATCTTGGGGAGCCCACTGGGGTCAAGTGGGCCAGATGTGACCACACCCTGGCTGCTAGCAGTCTGACAAGTGCTGGTCCCTGCTGTCCCCCATAGACCCTCCCCAGGTCCACTTAGTGTCCTATCATGTTGCGTGGGGGTCCCGCTAGCATTTTTAGCAATGCCAGGCATGTAGCCTGGCTGGGCTGAGTCATTATGGTCTGTGTAGGGGAGGGAGGAGGTGAGCGGAGAGTCCCCAGCAGCTCCAGCTCCTCCAGTGTCCGAGCCATACGTGTGGCCCAGCATCATGAGATGAGGTGGAGGTGGAGGTTTGACCTCCAAAGGGAGAGAAGCCAGGTTGGCTAGAGGTCCTGCAGTGGCCATGGGAGGTGGAGCAGGGACTGTGGCCATGGGAGGTGGGGCAGGGACTGTGGCCATGGCAGGCGGGGCAGGGACTGTGGCCATGACAGGTGGGGCTGGGACTGGGGCCATAACAGGTGGGGCTGGGGCTGTGGCTATGACAGGTGGGGCTGGGGCTGTGGCTGTGGCCATGACAGGTAGGGCTGGGGCCATGACAGGTGGGGCTGGGGCTGTAGCCATGACAGGTGGGGTTGGGACTACGGCCATGACAGGTGGGGTTTGGCCTGGGGCCATGACGGGTGGGGCTGGGGCTGTGGCAGAGACGCTTGCTGGAACTGGGCGGTATTCCTGTTCCTGGGTGCTGCTGCAGGGTGAGGCAGGATAGGCAGGGGAGGCCGCATAGCTGGAGGAGCCAGTGTAGGATGACCAAGAGGCTGAAGGACACAGGAAGCTCTGGTGGGGATTCACTGGAAAACCTCCCGGTGACAAGCCGCCAATGTCTGAAGAGCTTATGCCCATCTGGTTGGAGGCCTTGAACTGAGAGATGGCCGTTTTCAGAGCACTGTAGTCAGCCAGCGTTGGAGTTCTCTCAGGGGTGGCCTGCTGGTTTGGGAGTGGAGGACGAAACTCCTCCGTCTCTGGCGGGGGCGGCAGTGGAGGCTTCCCCTTCTCAACTGCCTGGTTCTGCTGGGAGGGATCTGATATGGTGGTTGGCTCACCATCGTCAGAGTCTAATGACATGTCCTCCTCTTCAACACACTCATCATTCACTACTGGGAGAGCAGGAAAGGGCAGAGGCAGAGAAATGGAAAAGTGGAGAGGAAGATATTATCAAACAAATGTGTTACAGTTGCATTAACAGCACCAAATGTGTTTTAAAAACTCTGCTGGGTAGCACAGACATCTTTAATTGGTGAGATAACAAAACGCAATTTAGCAAAGCAATTACACTGCAGCAAAATGACAAGGAATCCTGAGTGTTTTGGTGTTTGGTCCTGCTGTTGACGCTACCCACCTGTGGAGGGCGGTGTTGGAAGCTCATTCTGATTGATGGAGCCAATCAGACTGTGGAAACCGCTCATAACGTCATCAATGCTCCCTATCACTATTCCATTTCTGGAGTACTGTAGGAACATCTCAAATGGCCTCTCTGTAAAGACACATCAAAACAAGAGAGAATACTTTTTTTTATCATTCTAATAATGTAAAATTTAGAGAATACGAAAGGAAAATACATCACACCAACATCTCAACACAGGCCTGAGCAACATGGCTTGCAAATAATATCTCATATTTTTGGGTTATGCCACAATATATGGTACATATCTCAATATTATTATATTGCCTCTAAAATAACATAACTGTTTGATTCAACCTTTTGATGCGTATGATCGTAACAGTGTAATTATTCTAGTAAACTAATCAGAACTTAGAGGGCGCACAGCTCATATTTAACACTTTAATGGGCTTTGATTTTTTGAGTTCAACATCTGAATGTCCTGATATCGTCTGAATGACGCTCTTAGGTGTGGTACTGTCACTTTGAAGTCAGATTGGTCTTGGTAAATGTATTCTTTGTTAATAATAAGACTTTATTAAGGGCACAGAGAAAGGTCCATGACGCACTAAATAAAGACAATATGTACAAAAATACAACAGATACAATAAATAAATTAATAACTTTACATACATTAACTACATTATAAAACTTTATATGAAAAAGAGAAATCAGGAAACTGCACCCACAAAGTGCTTCCACAGACTTAATGAAAATCCAAGTGAGCTCAGCTCAAGGCCTGAATAATCGTTTAAAAAGCATTCTCATACCATTACTACAGGCCACATTAAGTCTCTGTATGTTGCCTTTTCTACAGGAACGACACAAATGGGCAGTATATAGCAGGGAACAAATTCTCTAAATTAATCATCAGTAGCTGAGCACATGCTGAGTTAGTAAGTTTGATTAAATATTCACACAATTAAAGTTCAATTTTTTTCTCTAAAATACAGTTGGGAGGCTATAGATTTTATTTTTAAGTATTATCAAATATTTCTTCATTTTGTTTTATTTTACTTAGTATATTTATTATTTTTAATTATTGACTTACTGAATGAATGTGAAGTTCAACAATTGCTTTTATTTTGAAGTGAGTTTTTAGACTCTCTTGCCTAATACCTAGTGTATACACATACTGCATAACAATGTGGGGGCTAGTTTGACCGTCTTTTTCAAAGTGGGGACTGGCTTAACTGCTGTGTTCTGCACTAAGTAGTGTTTTAAGTGATGGAACAGATTAATGGTACTGCCACCTTTAGCAGCAATCATTCTGTGGCATATTTTAAGTACAGCAGTCTGTTTTACATCTGCAATCCTGAAACCAAACCACCTACAAAGAGTATAGAAGCCTTTGCCATCTCCATATGATCGGCCCACTCCTGGATCTTCCCCCATTTTGAATTAAGGTGAACTCAATGATTGACATTAAATTGGTGGGCTCATGATTAGTTTAGGGAGCCTGTGTGTGTATATGTGTGAGTGAGAGGGAGAATAACTCTCTTTTACATACACGGGACCCTACTTTTGGGCTGCCTTTTTTCTGATATTGTCATCTGCCATATCCCTCATAAAATGATACTGGAGTATATTAAAAATGTTCGAAACATCACCCACTCCTACCTCCCACTGACACATAACTTTGTAGTTTGATGCTTGTTTCAGAAGACTGGTGGAAAGATGTAGTCTAAGCTGATGAGGATGAAGATACCTGTGAGGAAGATAAGGTGCCGCTGCTGTGTGTGCTGGGCTTGGAGCTTGATCAGGCATTCCAGGTCTGGAGCCTGACGCGACTGGGTGTCACACTCATGTTAAGGGAGGAACTCCACTAGGTGCTTCTTCTGATAGGCTGTGAGAAGGTTCAGCAGCCCCATGGCATTGGTGTTTAACCTTTAAGAGAGCAGAAAAAGTAGATTCAGACAGTGTCAAGATGTTTATTCACAGCTCAAGATGCTTAAGACCATTTTGATTTGATAACTAAAGCTCTTATTGAGACACTCACCTCCCCAGCTCTTTGAGCTTCTTCTGGGACTTGCAGTGCACCTTCCACTGCCAGGGGTGTTCAGGAGTGCTCTGCTCCTCCAAGAACTTCAGCAGGCCCTGCAAACGATCTGCACGAAACAAGCAACATGAGCGCTCAAGTACTGTCCACCTGATGAATTTCCACTGCGCTCGCACAGCTCCCAAGAAGAAAAGTAAAACTTACCCTGTGTGATAAGGTCAGGGTTGAGGACAAACTCATCAGACACCATGAAGCCTCCAGACACAAACAGCTCATTATAAGTGTGGTTCTTGACATCGTCCAGAGTGTCCACTCCAGCAAAGCTCACTGAAGGCAACTTCTTCAAAGACACCAGAGCCGGGATCTGCAGGGGTGGAAAGATGAGGTTTTTACAAATGAGTTCTTCTATTGCTTCTTCTATTAAAACTCTGCTCACATAATCAATCAATCAAACATGTTTTCATGTAACATATATCATGATGCAATATGCATATAATAACCCTGTGAATTAACATAATCTAACAGAGCAACCAGATAAAAAAAAAATAGGCTGAAGCAGATGTTTGAATTCAAATAGAAGGAAGTTATTATTTCTGTTTGATCACTGTCTCGATCAGCTGATGCCATGAGACCGTGACTAAGACGTAGAGGGTGTTAGGTGACCATACCTTGTGCACATGTGCAGCGATGTCCTCGTTCTGAATGATGATGAGGAGTTTATCTAAACTGCCGCTGTTTTCCAGAAATGTCTGCGGGCTGCACTCGCTGTTGCCAAGACTTTTCAAGTACTCCTTTGTGACAGACGGGAAGAGACGTAATTGTTAGAGACAGACAGATGAACGTGTCCTTCTTTCTTACACTTACAAATACTGACTGACTGACATACAGAAAGAGCTGAGCACCTAGACATGGAACACATAGTGACAAAGAAGAGCTAGTGTAGCCTTTCACATTCCCACTGTCGATCTGATCTGCAGTGTCACTTGTGTATGCCTGTGCAGTTTACCACTGCAGAAATCTCCTAAGCTGCTGCAATAAAAAAGTGAACTACATTAAGTGTACAAATGAGGAATATGAGAGAAAATGTATGTGCAAAGATGTAAAATCATTAGTAATAATAACACTGATGTAGTGCTGAAATTATTCGATGAAATGAATCAGAAAATTATTAGATAGCGATTTTAGGGCAATTAAAGTTAAAGTAGTTTCTCAAATCAACCACCAGTTCCCGTATCTCAAATATAAGAAGTTTATATTTAGATGTACATTTAAAATCTTTGGGTTCTGGGTTTCTGAATGGACCAAACAAGCAAATTGAAGATGACATCTAGGGTTCTGGAAACTTCTGAAAGACATTTTTCAGTATTTCCTAACATTTTACTGACTTAACAATTAATTACACAAAACCATCCCACAGATTAATCAATAATGTGAATAACAGTCACTGCTCTGCTTTCAACACCACACTGAGACCACATATCGTACCTTGATCTCCTTGCAGACAGTGCTCTCTTCCCCCTCGTCCCCGGAGTAGATGTAGAATTTGACTGTGTTCTTGGTGACATCCTTAAAGATCTCCACCAGGCTGCTGAAAACTTCAGGCTTCAGCTGACCAATGAGGCTGCCAGCCAGCAGGTTGGACCCACTCCCAGAAGCACGGCCTGGGTTTTGGGACCTGTGCTCTGGAGAGTCTGCTGTGACTTGAGAGGGAGAATAGATCTCTCCCCCCAACTCTGCTGATAAGCCTTCAGTTTTAGACCTAGCAGGTGCCACCCCTTTGATAGTGCCCATTTTACCCCTGTGTGACGCGGTGCTCTTCGACAGCGAGGGCTCCTCTTTAGTTTTGGAAGTCTGCATAGGGGTGGGGGGCGGTGTTGTAAGATTAGATGTTGTCACTGGGGGAGGTGGGGAAGTGACTTTGGAGGGAGCAGGTGGGGCCGGGATCAACTTGTCCATCTTCTCACACAGTGCTTTGACATGCCCCTGAATAGGGACGGGGGAAACGTACGGTACGACATAGTCTGAGAAGCAGCTGCTGGGCTGCCAGCAGTGGCGTGGAGGCAACCGCGGGGGCAGCTGCGACGAATAGCAGATGCGGTGCGTCGTCATGATGTTTTTAATGTCAGAGGTGAGACTGTGTATTTCCTGGTTGAGTATGGTGTCCAGGCTGATGGAGGGCCTGAAGGGAACTTCCTCAACGACTGGTAACGTGGGTGGTGCAGCCGCCTTTTTTACTTCCACTGCTGCAGGCGTCTTCGGCTCTGGGTAGCTCTCTGCCACCATCACAGCCTCCGGCTCTGGCTCAGGCTCTGGCTCTGGCTCGGGCTCGGGCTTTGGCTCAGTGAAAGGCTGTGCTTTGTCTGGAGGAGAGAAGACAGAAGAACTTGTCACAGTAATGCCTTGTGAACTAGATCTAAACATGCCTCCAGGGAGAGATCTGTGTGCTACAGACTGCTTTAGATACCTTCATCGGCGGGGTTGACCCAGGCTGGGTTGTCTGAGGTGTGTGCTTGCTCTGTTGGGGAGCCAGCGCTGAGTGGACTACCAGGGCTACAGTCCATGTCCTCCTAAACAGAGGAAACACCAGTGGTTATTTTTAGATGCACAAACACGTTTAATTCATGGTAAAATATTCCAAAACAACAACCCTAGTATCAGCTGTTCACATCTCACCTCTGTGTAGTTTGTTTGAGATGCAGGCTCGTTTTGTTTCTTCACATCTGGTTCAGGGAAGGCGGGTTCCCCCCTCCCTGGACCGGTCGACGGTTCGCCGTGGTTTGACTGTGCAGACACTGAACCCTGAGCCACAGCTTTGTTGAGAGTAGCCAGAAGGATCTTGAGGAGGCGCTGGGTCTCGTTGACCGTAGAGGCGTTGGTGTTGCCATGAGCCCTCAGGTCAGTGTCATAGATGCCCATGCTTTCCATCACTGCTGTCAGATTGTCGCTCTGTCCACCCTCGTCTCCCATCTCATCCGCTTGGGCTCCTAGCAGGATACACACAATTAATTAGAGGCATGTGTTAAATCTGGTACATTAGCGTACAAGAATATCCTAAGCTCCTTAATAACCAAAGCTCTGTGTGCAATATATAGGGAGTGTAGAGAAGGTGCTATAGTTGAAATGTTATTCACCGTGGAAACTGAAACTACCTTTATTGAGATGACAGATTTTTCAAGTTTTACTGCACTGAACTCTACAGTTGATGCACTGGCACACAGGAATAGGAACAGCTATCTGGATTAGCAACAAAAATGCATCTTGACATTTAAAAATGTAAACGATCAAAGTAATTTCATTTGTAAGCCAATACACAGGCTGCTTGTTAATCTAGTGCCAATGGGCAGCAATGTTTTTTTAATTTGCAATGCAATTACTGAGAACTAATCAGACTGTGTTGTGAGACTAATATAATATTCATTCTTTCAGAGGAACTGACTTTGGAAGCAGTAGGTGGAAACTGTCCAAAAACTAAAATTAAATTACACATTTTAAAATTAAGCTGCACAGACATCTGCAGCCCCCCTCACCTCGACTGGGTTCCCCGTTGCTCAGCGGATCTGTGCGTGGGTGTTTGTTCGTGCCCCCCCTCTCGTCTCCCTCAAACTTCCTCTTTAGACTGTTGGCGTCCCAAGCCACGTCCTCACCCCGTTCCTTCCCAGGATCCTTCACTAGTGCTTTCTTATGAAGCTGGATTAGCTTAAGCAACTGTTTCATCTTGTCTTTATCATACTCGTTCTGAGACAGTCGCAGCCTCTGAGCGGGCTGCGGCTGGGGCTCAGCGTCGGACTTGTGCTGTGGCTGGGCCCCATTTGAATGCCCCGACCCTTGCCTCCGTCTGGTGCCGTCTGAGGGCGGCTTCTCCTGTGCTTGCCTTTCTGGAGGCGGCCTCTCCTGAGGCAACCTCTCTGCGGGTCTCTCTGCGGGTCTCTCTGGCCTGTCTGAGCCCCTGTCCGAGCCGCCCCAGTCAGAAACGGGACTGTATTCCACTGGGGCCGGAGCAGGTGTGGGTATGGGCATAGGTATGGGTACTGGGTTCCGTATTCTTTCAATGATGTCCTTTGTCTTGTTCAGAGATAACATGTAGTTGGTAGGGTTGTGGATGTAAGAACGCAGCACAGCTTCCATGTTAAATTTGGGTCTGGGCACTGGGAGCGGGTTGGTCCTATCGTCCACGTTATATTTGTAGTCGGGCAGAATGAACGGCCGCACTGTGCCCGAATCCATACGAGTTAGGTAATCAGTGGCCTGACGCTCCACCCCGAGGCTCAGGTCCTTGCCCGGGTTGGGGCGCAGCTTGAACAGTGCGTAGTGCAGAGCAGGGATGAAGGGATCCATGGAGGACAGGATAGCAGGCTGGGGCTCTGCCGTCAGTGGCTCCGGCTCGAACAGTCTGGAAGCTGCGATGGAGGACACATATATTAGTGTTATGTTAGGTGAAGACCTGCACTATGAGTCTTTAGAGACAGGATCTTATTAACAGGAGTCAGTGTTGTGACATTGAAGCCTCTCAACTCTTTTTTTGATGTGCTTTTTATTTTAAAAACAGAGGAGCCTTCAGTAGGCAGATGTGAGAAAGATTTCTGTTGTATTTCAACATTCTCCCCTCGCTAATAAAACATTCCAATCGGGAGCTTCATGCAGACGCTGCCACTGGGTCAGAACCAGAGATGGATAGATAGCGAATAATACTTACAGTACTTGACAACCATCCTTGACTCCTGAAAGATGAATAATGCTTGCAGGTTCTTCTCAACGCGCCCCCGCCGCTCTAAAAAACAAACAGCACAGATTTTTTTAAAGCTTAACCCTCACCGAAGGCAACAAGTAGGTGTTCAAATGACACAGCAGAGAGTTATGAGAGGAGAGTAAAAGCTTTTCGGCACCTTTGGACTCAACCATCTGCGCTGAGGACAGCAGGAAGAGAAAGCCCCTGTCGAACAAGGACTTCACCAGCACCTAAATAAGGAGAGTATGCATTACAGTCAGGAGCACCAGGGTGTATCATTACCAGATAATGTGAGCCATTATAATACAGGTTTGCACTTATTCCTGTGTGTATACTTGTATATAGATTTATTGTATTTGTTTATAGTTACTAAAACAGTTTGACAGATGTTCTCCCTGCACTAGTTTCTTGTTAAATAGTAAAAAAACTCTTCATTGAAAAATTAATTACATCAAATGACGATGCTAAATGCAACACTGTGTAACTGACTTTATATTTATTCTTATTCTTTTTATTCTTCTCAGATTTTGAAACAAGAAGGATCTAAAACACAAACTTTCCATTTAAACTGGACACCCTAAGTCCTTGAATTAAATTAACCACTGAGTATATCATTGGCAAACTGATTCAGTGAACTGATTCTGGGGGTTTTCATGCATGAGAGCCTGGTAGGTAACAGCTACAGCGTGACTCACCATCCTGTCCCTCTCCAGTTTGTTGACCAGTGCTGCCAAGCTGCCGCTGGTTGGTTTGCCTTTTCCATCCACCACCTCAAACAGGCTGCAGGACATCCCACATTTCATCACTGCGGACAAAGAGAAGCATTTTGGAATACAAAGCAGACCTATAACTCATTTGTGGTGTACCGAATAGTTCGAAGCTTCATTCATAACCTTGGCATTTGAATTCTAAATCGACATTTGGATGCTGCGCAGCTTTTATTTGTAGGTCTATTCATTCTGTTTAAACCGGGTATTTCTGTACAGTTGCAGATAAGGATTACACACGCTACACTTATTTTATTAGTGTTATACTATTTGTAAAATCAGATTCCTGTGTAGGATTGTTTCCTACTTATTCAAACAATTCCAACAACTTCAGAGTGTTCTGTGGTCCAAAGGTCAAAATTTTATGGAAAAATGTAGATGTAGTCGTTTGAAAAATTAACAAAACGGTTTTTATCTATCAAAATATTTTGCTTCACTACATATTAGCTAGCGTTAAGCCCTTCAAAAACAACATTTTCACAGCAGTCAAATTTTTTTTGTTGTATTTATGTTGCTGAGACTTAACAAAGATCACTAAGTCATTTAATATTATGAACCACTTTATTCAAATTGAGGACTTTTGATTTTTGCTTAAGGGCGATGACATCATAAAATATGATAGGAGAAAGCTTAATTTGAAAACCTCAATAGCAGCATGAACATAAAAAAAAGAAATCTGGTACAGCCTTTTAACTCATCTATGTAGTGGTTCTTTTCTATAGGCTTATTTTTATCTTAAATAATGCAGAGCACCTTGTTAATAATCATATCGATGTCTTTAGTAGCCGTTTCTCTTGTACATGATGCAGCGTATGCATTTAGAAAAACTTTATGGATTTAATTTCAGGTAATGCATTACCATCTACATCCCCAGGGCGATTTCCTATCATTTAATCATGAGGTTCACACATAGGTGTGGTCAGAACTGACCTTCCCGTGATGCAGTGTAGGTGTCCCAAGAAAAGAGCACGGAGGGAATCTTGCGCTTCACCTGCTCCAGCTGCATGCCTCGACTCACCTCCAGCTTCTCAGGCCTTGGTGGGGATTTATCAAACAGCAAATCACAACAAATTCCAAGGAAAAAATAGTCTGTATATTGAACAAGAAGTGAGTTCTAACTTCCTCTCAACCGTGTTAAAGGTCAGCACATAAAAGTATTTTGTGGCAAAAAGTGTCTTTAATAATTAAGAGTGGAAACTCTAATAGCACTGTGGAGGTTTTCTGGAGATACACAGAATTATATAACAGTTTACTCACAGTTTGAAAGGGAGGTAGGGGCGTGAGGAGGATCGTAAACAGATTGGGAACAACTCCTGGCCCTTGTTTACTAGTGGACCACTCCACACAGTGTAGCAGCTCTTCCCTGCAACACAATAAAAAGCACAGGTCAAAGGTCAGGAAAGATACAAAGAGAAAGCATCGTTCATAGCTTTTATTTACTGCTGGGTTGTCAATGAAAAGGCACATATTTTGACACACACACACACACACACACACACTTCTTTAAACTCTTATGAACTGGCAGTTGTATCTAATTTGGATAATTTTGGGGGCGCATCACTGAAAATGCACTCTTCTATTACTGATAAAAAAGTGTGCGTGCAAATCAAAGTGTTTAAGATAGATCTTGGGTAGCTGGTTAAAGCAGTGTTTCCACTCCTAGTGTGAAATGGCTTGTGATTCATTAAATATTTATCAAATATATAAGTTTAAGAAATGTTTTACCTCGACTTCCTTCAGGGGAAATAGTGTTAAACCTGTTACGGAGAGGAAAAAAAAGCCTTGTTACAACACAGAACGCCGTGCATACCTCCCCAACCACCTGAAGGTACTTGCTGAGTTTTACCATTTCCTGCAGGAATACGTACCTGTGTGAAGTCATAGGAGTCGCTGCAGCTTCCTTCCCTTTGTACTTAAAGGAAACCACAGCATAGGGGTACACATGCCTGGGCCGATTCTTGATCTCATCAAATGCAAACTCGAAAAAATATTGCTACAAGACAAGAAAGATACATCAAAACTCACAAGTTCTGTTCAAGAAACAAATGACTTTGATAACACAATATGTGCAGTAAGTGAATGTAAAAGAAGCCATGTTTACCTGTGTGAGCTCAAAAGCCCTGTAAGACAGCAAAGATGTGACCCTGTTGCCACTTTTGGACATGTGACAGTCAAACTTGGGAGTAGGTTCCATGGCATTCTTAGGCATGTTCTCATGAATGTGCTTTATTCGGCCCTGGGAGACAAAACACACTGGTCAGCTGAAAGTCCCGTGAGCATCATAAATCAGTCAACATCTCAAAATGAAAATAGAATGGCAGCCATACCCTCATAACTTTAAAAACGATCATGTCTCCAGACGAGCCGACTTCAAAGGGATTCATTTGTAACAGATCAGAATATTTGGAGACATAAACACCTGCAATGACAAACAGAAAATCATCATACTCTGTCACATTTAAATGTCATATTCACACTCTAAAAATCAAACTAGGGTTGGGAAATACATCAATATTTTATTGATATTGAGATGATGAAACTAGATATCATATTAGATTTTAGATGGTGCTATATTTAGTGTTGTCTTTTCCTGGTTTTAAAGGCTGAATTACAATAATGTAATTTTCTGAATTTACCAGACTGTCCTAACTGTTCTATTATTTGCCTTAACCCACTTAATCATTATCTCCACATTACCGATGATTATCTATCAAATGTCTAATTGTGTAAACATTTTGTGAAAGCACCAACAGTCAACCCTAGAATATTGTCGCAACATCAATATCAAGGTACTTGGACAAAAATATTGTGATATCAGATTTTCTCTATTAATCACCCAGCACGATATCAAACCATAACAACCATGTCAATTAGAAAAAGACGAAACTTTCATTTCTGAGTAGGCAGCTGTGAATCAGCATTTAAGTGACATATTGTTGGATAGATCAGAGTCATTCCCAGCTGTTGATATGGCATAAGAAAAGATAAGATAAGATACACCTTTACTGATCCCATAAGCTATCTGTAGATGTAAGTTTATCAGGTCAAAGTGTCAATAAAACATATATTGTTTCAAATAAAATCCATCAAAACAGAAAACTAATGAGACCCGCAACCCTTAAAACAATATCATATCTCAATACTGGGAGAGGGATCCCTTCGCAGTTACTTATCCTGAGGTTTCTTCCATTTTTCCCCTGCTAAATCCACTCTAAGTGTCCAAGGACAGAGAACATAGTATGCTGCAAATCCCTCCATTTTTAACAATAGTCTCCTTTCGAGGCAACAGCAACATGCAAGAGAGTAATTTACCTTTTAATGGATTCCCTAGTGTAGTTATCCTGGCGTGTCCAACCGACAGACCCTTCTCACAGATCAAGTGGAGCTAGACATACAAGAGAACATACAAAGCTCAGAATCGTCACATGACAAGAAAGAACACTATGCTTTCTAACTTGTTTATCATCAATACCTTGGATTTGTCTGGGTAAAGGAAGCAGTACGACTCAGTCAGTTCTTGTTCTGTCCGCCCTTCCTGTTTCATCTCTCTTCGCTTCTCGATGAACTGACAAAAAAAAGGGCAGCAGCACTGTTATTAAATGTTGCTCTATTTGTTCCTTTAAACCTACAAAAAGGTTCCATCAGTAACAAAGGAGCAACTAAAACGTTAACGCTGACATTGTTGGATACAGGAAGACAATCACTAACCTCCTTCTCAAGCAGCTCATTGTGAATGAGCCTGGCCTTGCAGTAGGAGAAGGTTCCTCGTGATGATGCATCTAGATAAAACGAGGACACAATCTTCACAAGGTCCTCAAACTCCCGGCTGTCAGGGGGCAAAAACTGGTACAAGCCTGCACACAGAGAGGTGAAATCAGTGGATTAGCATATAGCATCTGCAGCAGATGTGCCCATGTGCAAAGGAGGACAAGCACAAGTTGCATAGCATGCCAAAACTTTTAGTCAGACCCCGGCAGACAGCAGTATCATCCTCTTCTTTAATTTATAGGGTAATATTGGATGAATATATCAAGTCTGAAATGTGATTTTTTTTGTACAAGAAGAGGGTAGACGTGACCTGTGTTTAAACTCCAGTGCAATGTCAAAAAGTCACATGCCCCCGTGTATACGACATTAGGTACAAGAGGAAGTGATATGCCTGCAGGCAAGAACTCTTTGCGTACTTTTAGTACAGCTCAGTGAGGTTGCAATGAACCAGCAGCATCCCAGGCTAAACTTGTTTCTCATGTGCTACAGCCAGCTTGTGACAACAGGTTGCTGCCCTTTAGAGAAACAGTTGAACATTGATCAATAATAGTAGCTAGGTATCCCTAACATCAACACATCGCTGTACAGGTGACAAGCCTTGCATCTGTCTGTGTTTACATGGAGCTCATTATGTTGATTCAACCACATGCAAAGAAGAGAAACCACCACTAGCAGACTAAGGGATGGTGCATCATCAGCCTGGGGTGACAAGTAGTAGACATCTAGCGTATGAGACAAAGGGGTGAAAACACACACAGCCAGGTCTGTCTAACAGTTTCCAATCATGCAGTAAGATATTTTATACATTATATATGCAGCCTGGTGAGTTGGTCAGATACTGCAAGAAAACTAGGCTTCAAATATGAAGTCCAGCAACTCCAACGCAGCTTTGCATATATCCAAATAACAGATGCATGATAGCAGAGTTTGTAATCTCCACGCTGCTCAGGGTGCCGCCACCTATTTGACATGTCGGGACCAGTGTGGTTGTAGTTTACTGTGAGGACTACTGAGGTGAGGTGCAGAGGGGATGCTCTGATATAGCAGTAACACCCCTTATAGGATCTCATTGACAGTGGCATGGGGCTGTGAAAACATTTTAAATAGACGGGTCGGGTGGATAAATCCATGCCCTTCACTGAGGTCAATGAGACACGCACATGTTGTCAGATGATGGCTGCAACACACTCATGACACCAACAGCACCACTCAATCACACCACGGTCCCATGAAAAGGTGAAGAAGCCAAACAAGGTGGCCTTTCACACGGGCAGTCCTCAAAGTGTTGCTTTCAGGCGCCTTCACAGGAAGGTAACGTTAGCTGCCCAACGTTAATGCTCTGTGGTAACTTGGATACCTGGGGTGGGCTAACAAAGCTATGTGTGCAAAAACATGTCACGCTGCATCTGTCAAGACCATCCGCGTGCTTACACAGTGTGACGTTGCTTTAATCTGAACCTAAAATATCCGTGAACGTTTTGTTAAACTCGTTAAAACTAGCGAGACCAGCTAGCTAGCTAGCATGGCTAGCAACATGCAGCAGAATTATGAAAGACAGGACAGTCTCTGTTCAAAATAGCAGCGATATAGCACCACCTTTCCGTTCCCTGGTCTTCCTTGGGATTTGAAAATTCGGTCTCTGGCCCGGCGAAGGAGAACTGCTAAAGCTCCGGGCGTCTGCCTGCACTCTCCTCCGCCGCTCAGGGGCTTCTTGGTCGGGCATTACACCGTCTCCACATCCAGGCTGATCGCCATTTTGGTTGGCTGTGGCCGAGGTGGCGGCTGAATTCTTCGGGGGTTCGCCGCCTTCCGGCTGGAGATCGTCCGTCTCGGTACATTCTGAGTCCCTTTTCCCCACCGCGTTGGGGTTCAGGGCCATTTTCGGGCACCGTGCACGTTTAACGGGCAATGGAGCTCTAACGATTACGGCGCCGCTTCACACACACACTCTCCTCCTCACCCAGCCTCCGCCATTGTGAAAATGACGTACACGTTCTTCTCCACCACTGCAAAACGCTGCCGTCACTATGTTTACATACGAGAAAATCCGCGCCACCCAGCGGCGGATGGATGTACTGCAGCTTTCCACTATTGGGTGATGGACGTGAACATGGAGATGAACGGTACAGTAGGAATAAAGTGGAGGATGCTGCTGTTCTCTGCTGGACTGTTGGACTGCTGGATTTTACACCTATTATGTATACCTTTCTATATGTTGATATATTCTGCAATTAATTATATTATATTTGTATCATATCATATCATTAATATATGATACTACACTATATTACATTTAGTGTTTTATATCATGTATATCCTGTCTATTAATAGAGACAAAACTAAAGTCTGTTAACAAAGGCTTACTGACTCTACAGCTTTTAATCACTACTTTCTGTTTACCTTACAAATTTTGTTGTTGTTTTCTATTTTTATTTTACATCGTTATATTATATTATTTGAATTATATAAATTATTATTATTATTATTACTAAAAATAAATACAAAATTATTATTGCTTTGCTTTCTATCTTTTATCTGTACTATTGCTGTCCTTGTGCTACAGTGAAATCCACATTTCCTCTGCAGGGATCACTATCTTATCTTATCTTATCTTATCTTATCTTATCTTATCTTATCTTATCTCTTTTAATCTCAACTGTCTCTTCACCTTATAATTTTTGTTGTTTGCTGTTTTATATTTTTTTGTTTTAGCTATACTACTACTACTACTATTACTAAATATAAAAAATGAAAATACTATTATAAATTATTTTGCTTTATCCCTTTTATCTGTACTATTGCTGTCCTTGTGCTACAGTAAAATCCACATTTCCTCTCAAAGATCAATGGAGGTTTATCTTATCTTATCTTGAAGCCTTGAGTGCCCTGATTACTGATTACCTTATTTCAACATCTTTAGCAACATATAGCTGGTAGGTGACATCTGATACAGGCCTACACACACATACTGTACAGCCCAGGGTACATCACTCAAACATTCTCAAACAACAGAGAACGAATACCAACGTCCTCATGTTGGCAGTTGTCTTAGTATATGTTTTTACAACTTACTGACTATGGCACACAGATCACACCGGTCCAAACAAAACAGCTGCCCAAACTTAAGTCCAACAGTTGACTACGAACACTATAAACACACAGAACAAATCCCACTCTTGTAATATTTCATTCTACCACCAGGTGATGACAAAGAGGCGGAGATTCCTCCATCCATCCATCCTACAAGAAAGACCTCAGTACTCTGCGGTTTTTAATGTTTTTGATTACGTTGTAAATGTTTTACTGGGTTTATGATGTCATGACATGTCTCCTTTAAATTTTCTATATTCACATCATAAAATTGACTACTCTCTTTTTAATAAGAATCTGGGTGTGACATAATCATTCTTATAATAATAATAATATTGTTATAATAATAGTCCAGAGACATGCAGGTTAGGTTAATTGGTGACTATAAATCACATGTAGGCATGTAGTGATTACTAAATGAGCCTACTGGGCACAATAGTTAGGCAGCCTCCTGGCCTTCACTTGCAAAATGTCAGGTGTCAAATTAACACCGACCGACCAGGAAGAAACTTAAAATGAACAAAAGACACACAAAATTACCCCAAAGAAACAAAAAACGACCACAAGGGAATAAAATCCCACAAAACAATGCGTAACGGCCACAAAGAGACACAAAACTACCACAAAGTCTGCGTGTCTAGCTCCTGTGTAGGACAGGTGACGTGGCCCTTTGCATATCTGTGCCCAGGGGCCCATTGTCTCATTATCCGCCTATGCCCCTAGGTGTTAATGTGAGCGTGAATGGTTGTCTGTCATAATGTCTCAGCCCTTTGATAGTCTGGCAACCTATCCTGGGTTTACCCTGCCTCTCGCCCTTTTCTGTAGGACCCATTTAACCAGGGTAGTCACTGTAATGGTAAAAAGGAAAGAACTCAAAAGTACATACATATTTTATGCTTTGCAATATTATGGAAAACTACATCATTTCCAAAACACATAATATCAATGCAAACAGATGATGTATACTGACTTTCTCCGTCCCATTATCACAGTGATATCTGGCAACTGTCAATGTGTTGTCACTATAAGTTGACCATGCTCCCCCTGCTGTACACATCAAACTCCTTGTAGCGTAGGTAATCTTTCAGCCTGGGAGGAAGAGGAAGGTAGCTGATGAAAACTGGGGCTCTCAAGCGCAGGCGACTGAGATGCTCCCTTATCCGCAACCGACAAAGGTGCTTCAGGCTCCGCGTGTTTCCTAAGTGTAAATAAAGTCCATTAAGTCAATGAATGCACATAATGATCATCAATACACTTTGGGTGACAGGTAGAAAATAACTAACGCTGCTCTCACTTTGAATGTGGCAGATCTCCAGCCACTGTTGCTGCTCCTCCAAAGTGTCCTTCAGTTTGGTGCACAAGGGGACATGGTCGGTGTAGTCCAGCATGATGCGCACCACTTGGGCAGATAAGTGCTTCAGCCAGGACACTGTAATCACCTCACAGAACTAGAGGGAGACAAAGACATGTGGCAAAGTTAAGACGTGAAAGAAAATGTTATTGTACTCCACTGGTTACCCCATGCAGTTCATTCATCTTGTTTCAATGCTTTACACCAGTGGTTCCCAACTGGTCCAGCCACGGGGTCCAGATTCCTTGGTCTTTAGTTCGAGGTCCCACAGTGTAATGCATTCGGCAGCATACGTGGCCATGTTGTTGAGCTAGTTTGCTGTCTCTGTCAAGAAGCTGCCCAGTCACTCTTTCTGCAGCAGGAAACTTTACTTCAAAATTAAAGGTTAAGAATGGACCCACAGCCTACTTTGGGGCCGCAACCCACCAGTTGGGAACCATTGCTTTACACTATTCTCCTTTCAGACAAGCTTCGCCTCACCACCATGTCTTTGATGACTGAAGTTGTCCAAGGACCGTAGTCATGGGAACTGTCGCCATACGGACAGTCGAAGCAACGCTTTACATCATACCCGTGGTTCAGAATCATTCTCAGCATAACCTCATCTTTCAAGGCGTACTGCAGTGCTGAGGGGAAGTGAGTGGTGTTGACACGGGAGTAGTAGTTTACATTTGCCCCAGACTTCAGCAGTGTGTTGATCAGTTCATAGTTGCCCTGTCTAAGAGCCACCTGCAAACAGTTGATAGGATCCTGGTTCACCATTGCTCCAGCCTCTAACAGCAAGCGGGTGCACTGAAGATCATTGTTGGACACAGCGAAAAAGAGGGCAGACCTGCGCTCATCATCATAGTTGCGGCGCACCCTGGGGTGCAGCATGAAGTTTGGATCATAGCCAGCTTTGAGCAGCATCTCCACACAATGGGCATGTCCCCCAGCAGCTGCCGAATGGAGAGGACTCATCCCACTTTCCTTTACAGCCTCCAGCTTAGTGACTGGGATGAGGCGCTCCAGTGCCCTGTCAAAAAGGAGTCGTTTTTTTAAAGGGACAGTTAACCCCAAAATCCAAAATACATATTATTCCTCTTACCTGTAGTGCTATTTATCAGTCTAGATTGTTTTGTGTGGCTTGCCCAGTGTTGGAGATATCAGCCAAATATACTCCCTCCTGCCTTCTCCCAAATATAATGACCTTCTTGTAAGCAGTTTCATGTAGGAACTATTTTCTTTCTTCTACACTATACTGTCCAAATGTATCACTGTGCAGAAGGAAGCAGCAACTCACACCAAAACAATCTTGCTTGATAGACAGCACCACAGGTGAGAGGAAGATGTGTACTCTTGATTTTATGGGGTGAATTGTCCCTTTAAAAACATGACAGTGGTTCAAACTCTATTTGACAAGTGGGAAAGCTAAATGTTGTAACACAGATATTCCTCACAGTATGTGTCCATGGTAGGCCACACGGTGAAGCGGGAGGTGGCCACTGTAAAGAGGTTGGTTGGGATCTGCTCCATGTTCCAGCAGCAGGGAGATCACGTCAGGGTTTCCTGACGCTGATGCTTCAAACAAGATGGTGCCTGACTCCGATTCACACCACACATGGGCACCTACAAAATCAATACAGATACTATAATAATATGTATCTAATAGGTGATTTTCAGTCCTGGAAAACAGTATGGAAAGATATCTGTAGAGTCTTGCATAAATAATTTTTTTAACCTCTATTACTGCTCCATCAATTGTCGGAACAACTAAGTAAGTGAAGTAATGGAATCCAGATATTTTTTGAAATCTTTAGTGGGAGTTAAACCACCTGTATCTCATATACCTTTCTGTAGCAGGACCTCCACCACGTTCAGATGTCCATTCTGTGCAGCCAGAGCCAGTGGGGTTTTCTTTTTGATGTCACATGCATTTGGGTCCGCACCAGAATCTAGGAGCAGATAGACAAAGTTCTCCAGGCCTAAAAAGGCACACTCATGTAGTGCTGTCCTGTTTAGTGGTCCTGTTTGGTCTACCGTGGCACCGTAGCGAAGCAATAGTGTGGCCAAGTCGTACTGGTCATTCAGAATAGCTGAAAGCAGTAGGAGAGAGAGGTTTTAAATTAGCAAATATCATTGGTTGTCTGTTAAAGGTCCAGTGTGCAGGATTTAGTGGCATCTAGAGGTGAGGTTGTAGATCTAAATCTTCTCCCGAGTGCCAAGCCAATCCCACTCTTACCTAAACCAGCTAACTACTAACTACTTGGTGGCTTAGTGGTAGAGCAGGCGCCCCATGTACAATGCTGTTGCCACAGTGGCCTGGGTTCAATTCCAGCCTGTGGCCCTTTGTTGCATGTCACTCCCCCTCACACTTAGCTATCCCATCAATTGAAGGCAAAAAATGCCCCAAAAATATCTTAAAAAAAAAAAAAAAATTCTGCATATAGATGCCCCCTAAATCCTTCACACTGGACTTTTAAAAGAAGTGCATTTTTCATTCAGACGTCATATACCTGCAACTAAAGGTGAATCATGCTCATCATTCTGGAGATCCGGGCTACAACCGTTC